CGATGACGCTCTGAAGACCAGCTTCGTTCAGCATCGACCGAATCGTACGAGTAAGGTTGTCATGCGCCGTGGGAAGCTTGGAGGATCGGCGTTTGCAGGTCTGGAGATGATGTGCAGCAACGGAGGGATCGAGCTCGCGCTGACATCCATCACATTCCGTCGGACACTGGCAGATCGGCATGCCATGGAGATAGCAGTCGAGCATCTGAGCATACTACGCCGCGGCGGTGCGGGAAGGCCTTGAGGGGGTAGTAGCTCGAGACGCAGCGTCTGAGAAGATTCGCAAACATCGCGCTGCATATGCCATGACTACTCCTCCTCGAGCGTTCATCCCTCTTGCCATCTCGACGGACGGTACCCTGCATCCTGACACCCTCCGCTTCATCTGGTATCTCGCGGACATCATTGCTCAGCGCTCAATGCCTCTTGAGGATGCGGCGTTTGGTCGGCACTTCGTGCCTGATGACGGACCTGCTGCTGAGGTCTTGGCTCGCAAACGCGCCGCCACCTATCAGCGCCTCACCATGCAGCTGACGCTGGAAGCGCTCTTGTCTGGTGCCAGGCGCATGACGCCCTTGCGGGCGCAAGCACTCCTCGAGCCAGAGGACAGCTCCTCCTCGGACTTTGTCGAGTCGCCCGAGGAGTCTTCGCCGGAGGTCTCCGACTCCGATGGGGGACACCCTTCGGGTTGCGAGTGGCCCCGACGATGGGCGCGGAGCTGGCGAGGAGCCTCCGTCCCTCACTGTGACGTCGGGTGCCTCCGGAGAGCTCGACACCACTGGGGTGCTTGCTGCTGGTCCGAGCTCGCCTGCTTCCTCCCCGGCATCGGTCCGACGATTTATAGGATTTACTGGCAGAAGGTAAAAAGTGTTTTGCTTGAGGCACTCAGTTTTTACCTTCTGCCAGTAAATCCTATGCTTCTGCCTCAAGCAAAACAAAGCAGGAACAAGCTAAACCTCCAGGCACACAGTCCACAGCGAGAAGCTGCGGTCGGGTCACGCCGGTCCTTGGGCATTGCCGCGGCGTCGCCGCCGTCACGGGCGGCTACCACTGACTCGGCTACCGCTGACTCGGAGGCTAGCGAGGGAGGACTACCTCGAGCGGTACCGTGTTCCTGTGTCCAGCCTCCCTCTTATCTTCTTTCCCTCCGTCCGCTGCTCTTATCTTCTTTCCCTCCGTCCGCTGCCCCAGGCGGACCCCCGGGCAACGCCGGCTCCTTGTCTGCTTCTGCCTCAAGCAAAACAAAGCAGGAACAAGCTAAACCTCCTGGCACACAGCGCACAGCGAGAAGCTGCACAATCACAAACAAAACACAAGCCCGAAAACAACCCCCTCCCATCCTCATGGCCGCAAGATGAAGGGCGATATCCACATCCCTGGAATCCGCGATCGAGGGTCCGAGCAGTACGAGGGCTTGATGGTCCACCCTGTAAACCCGGTAGTACATTGGTAGCTCTGCCGACCTGACCAAGTGGGGGGAGGTCAACCTCGACGCCCTCCATGTTGCAGCGTCTGAGAAGATTCGCAAACATCGCGCTGCATATGCCATGACTCCTCCTCCTCGAGCGTTCATCCGGGCCTCTTGCCATCTCGACGGACGGTACCCTGCATCCTGATTGTTTTGCTTGAGGCACTTTTTGACTTCTGCCAGTAAATCTGACAATCCTGACACCCTCTGCTTCATCTGGTATCTGGCGGACATCCGATGATTGCCGCAGTGCTCACTGGCAGCGCTCGATGCCTCTTGAGGATGCGGCGTTTGGTCGGCACTTCGTGCCTGATGACGGACCTGCTGCTGAGGTCTTTCGATACCCGGGGGCATCCGACTGACCGCTGTCAGTACGGTCGAGACCGTGCGTCCGCGCCGGGCCGCCGCAAAGCTGGCGGCCGCGGACGGAGAAAGAGCAGCCGCTGACAAGGAGCCGGCGCTCACTGTGCCACGGTGACTGCACGGTACCGCTCGAGGTGACCGTCATCAAGTCCTCCTCACTAGCCTGCGGGAGTAGTGGATTTACGAGTCAGCGGTAGCCGAGACCAACACCACCCGTGACGGCGGCGACGCTGCATCAATGCCCAAGGACCCGGCGGGGCTGTGCGGCATCGGAGGCAGGCGAGCTCGGACCAGCCGCAGCAAGCACCCTAGCCTGGGTGTTGGTGCCAGGAGGGAATGCCAGTACTACGGTAAACTTTCGACTCGGCGAGGTTGAATCGCAAGCCTTCAGATCGGCGGACGTAGCTGCAACAGCATCCTCCATGTCGCAGACCTTTTCCCCTCTGTTCGAGCCAGTTGGGCCACTCGAGGATGCCGTTGCAGCTGCCTCCGCTATGAAGAAGTACATATTGGCTGATTTGAAGCTTGAGATTCAACCCCGCGAGTCGAGTTACTCAGTGCGCAGAAGGTAAAGTGCCTCAAGCAAAAGAAAGCAGGCGGAACTAAACCGTCAAGCAAACATTCTCAGTCAGCGAGGCCTGCAGGCACACAGCGCCAGAGTCGGACTCGGAAGCTGCACAAACACGCCGGCCCACAACAAAACAAGACCGATGCCATGCGGGCCGCGGGCCCCGGCCCGGCCCACGGGTCCCGGCCGCGCCGCCGCGATCGGACTCCGAGACTCCGGGTGACCGTACGGTACTGTCACCGCAGTCAGGCTGCCAGGCTGCCACGGTTACTCACTGCCGTACTGTGACGGGCCAATCCGCGGCGATGCCGCGCCCCGCCCGTGCAGTGCCCCGTCATGATGATCATCTGAGTCATGTGGGCCCCCGGGCCGACTCACAGAGTCACCGTGCCGAGCCGCAAGTTGAAACTTGCTACTGAGTTTCACTGATATTTCAGTCAGTACTGGGGCGGGCTCGGCGTGTACGGTCACCAACGTAAAGCTTTTGAGTTGGGATTTCGAATTCAAAATCAACTTGGGATGTCTGGCTTGGAACGTGCAATGCAGGTAGAGGAGGCTGAGCGGGTTCCTCTGTTTCCCCTCCCCTACAGTCCAGCTATGAACTTCTCAGACTCGAGGGGCCGAAGACCTGAGGGCACGGCAGCGCGGACGGGCGCAGCCTCAGACCTCAAGGGGAAGAACATGGCGAGCTGCTTGTCGCCTCACGACCGTGAGAACATGGACCCCAACCTTGAGAGGAGCAGCTGCCTTCCCTTCCCCGAGTCTTCTCCTCTCCAAGTCTCTCGTTCTACCATCTTCTTTCCTCGAGCTTCTCCAATCAAGTTTGCTGGTGTCATGCAAGCTGATCTCGATCAGGAAACTCAAGTTGATCGCGGCGAGCCATTCATGTTTGGAGTAGAGAGTTCGAAGATACATGCCATGCACGGCCAAATAACCAGATTGCTCATGTGGGAAGAAGGTGTCAAATCCTCCCTGGCATTCATCGGAACAAGTTGCGCTTTTGGATTCATAACTTTCTTTGAAATCAGTGTCATTCAATTGCTTTGTTTGGCAACTCTTGTTGTCATATCTTTAAGCAATTTTTTTCGAAGTTTCCATGAGATTTTGCCTTCACCTCTACAAGACATACTCGCAAGTTGCCATCAGTGGCTGTCTCATCCCTCTCTACTCTCCACATTCCATATTCTCTTTGCAAGCTTTGGATGTGTAAGTGATGTTTCTTCGCGAATGGAAAGTTTGACAGTTGACAGGGATTGCAAGAGGCCATCATTGTTATTCGCTCAGTACCTGAAGGAACAAGCTTCATTAAGTCGTTCCTTCTGAATGCTCTGCTGTGGGGGGGTGTCTTCATCTCTTCTCGTTTGAGTTTCGCTTGTACGTTGTGGGCAGTTGTGACAGGTGTGAGGGAATGGAGGGGGTTCGTCTGATCCTCTTTAAAGGTTCGTTCCTCGTTCACCCTCTCTACGTCATCTCGAATAGGCTGTGGCAGACGCTGCACGCTCGATTCCAGGCAAAACAAACTAATCCTTCCAACCTTACAAAAGAGTAACGTGTGTCGCAGACGTTGGAATCGTTCACAAGGATTGCGATCGTGAGCCTGTTTGTTGTGGCATCGATCACGATAATCTTTGTCGGTGCCGAGCGCCATGGAGAGATATGCGATGCATCTAACAATGATCTTTCCAGTGACCAGGCTGAGTTTGCTTGCCATGTCAAAAGAAGTTCTCCTAGCCTTCTTATTTTCTTCCATGCTGAGCTTGTGCCCTTGCCTTCGCAAACGGTAGAATCAACCCTTTGGTGAACTGCTGTCTTGACATGGAGGCAGCGACACTTCTCTTGCTGCTTGTTGTAGTTTCCTGGCATCGCACAGGTACGAAGCTCTCCCCCCTGATTGTAATCTTACAAAACATCAGCTTGAAGGTTGGTCCAGCAGCGCTCAAGATGCTGCGATCCATCAAATCGCCCTTGAAACAGGCAGAGCGAAAGTCTTAGATACACAGGCTTTTCAATCCTGACTGGTCACTAAGCCTCCTCGATTGTTTCTTGTCTAGATTTTGAGGGAGCCAGGATACCAGGGGGCAAGGTCTTCAACTTCTTTCGCTGCATACGGCCATGAATGCTCTCTTGCAAAGCATACGATTCACCTCTTTTCTGTTCATGCGCGCAATCTTGGCTGGGTTGGTTATCAACTGGGACAGCCGACTTCAGCAGACTGTAGAACGTAATACACAAGCATACCTGATACTTCTCGTTGGATAATCTGTTCTCTAGCTTAATTCTTCTCCTTTCCTGCATTGAACTTACCCACCGCACACACATATTTCTATGTTCCGTCAATTGAAGTACCTGCAACTTCATGCGTTCTTGTTCCTTCGCTTCTATGGCCTACACAGAGTTTTCAGGAGTCATAATCGCAGCTCAATGATGCACCTTGACTCTCAGTTTGTCTACAATCCCTTTCATAGCCGCTTTCCTCTCCTTCAACTCCATCTTCTGTCTGTACTGAAGTCAGAGTGCAGTGAGGGACGGATTTACAACCGCCAGGAGGTTCGGCATGTGACTCTCATCGCTGCGGTCTTAGGCCGGCTCTTCACCTTCACTCCGTCGATCTCCACATTCTTCCACCATCTGTGCCCCTTCACCTGCTCCCGAATTAGCGGCTCAAAGGATGCAGGCCTGGTAGAGCCTCTGGAATCGCGTAAGGCCACTTTCTGGGCTCTTCTACTGCCATGCCAGATAAACCAAACCCCCTGACGACTTGTGAAATGTAGCAAACACGCGCTCTGAATGACCTGTATGCTCGCCCTTCTCCGCCGATGGGATTGTATACGATCCTTTCCTCGTTGTACTGAATGTCTTGGAAGCGAATGGGGCACTGCAGCGCAGTTACAAGAATTCCTTTGAATCCTCGTACCTCAGAGGGACTTGGAGCTTCGGTCAGGTGAAGGGGCTTAGAGTCAAGGTGCGAAGGAAATTCCTGGGAAAACTAATCAACATGCTGTTGCTACTCAACCGTTAAAGAGGCTCAAGTCTTCTTTCACATGAAGATTAAGACTGCCTGCCTGCCTGCCTGCCTGCCTGCCTGCCTGCCTGCCTGTCTCCCCTCCTTCCTTCCTCCAGTAATCCTGGTAAGCTTCACCTTCAGCGACATCATCGTGTTGAAGACATTTTGTCCTATTTCACTTCTGATTACTGATCGCCGGCTGAGAAGGGATCAGCATTGCATGGATTCTCGGATGATTGCTACCGCCGTCCCTGCTGAACTTCTCCATCCATATACCTGGGCGTCTATGAGAGGCTTGCTTCCATGGCTCCTTCCCTTACCTTCCTTGCGCTCCTCCCCTGAGGTGCATTGCCAGACGACTTGGGTGTGCTCGAACTGCTATGGCACGGACTCACTCTCAAGCCACCAGCTGTTTCAACCACCTTGGCTTGGATGGATGCAGCACGCCAGTGCAACGAGACACACGTAAGTCACCTGCATGACCAGCTTCTCTCTCCCTCCCCTCCTCTCCTCCCTCAGGGCCTCGTTTTCCGCCTCCTCCTTTGGGTCTGGTTTTTATTTTACTCAACCCCTACGAATGGGAACAGCCGTTATGATCACGTAACGTACGCGACACTTGGAACTGCTAATGCCTTCGCTCGCCGATGCCATCCATGTCCTGATGGGCAGCCATGCACCGCAACCTGTAAGAGGCGATGAGAGGAAGAGAGGAGAGAAGGAGAAGGCTGGAGGAGAGAAGAGAAAGAGAGGAGGGAAGGAGAAGGCTGGAGGAGAGGAGGATGTGAGAGGAAGAAACGAGTGGCCGAGAAGAAAGGAAGAGGAGAGGAGATGGAGAGAGAGAGAGAGAGAGAGCGGAACTAGAGTGGAGGGGAGGAGGGGAAGAGAGCAAGGGAGCAGAACTAGAGTGGAGGGGAGGAGGGGAAGAGAGTAAGGAAGGGGAGGGGAGGAGGGGAAGAGAGTAAGGAAGGGGAGGGGAGGAGGGGCCAAAGGTTCATTAGGAGTTTGTGGGGCGACCGGATAGAGAATGAGTGAAAGGGATGAACTTGATTAGTATCGAGAGCACAACATGATCCGGCTGTTCTCCATCAACACATTTCTTGGAACGCATTCCACATCTCATGTTGTTCGTTGTTTTGCTTATCATGAATGGATGATTGCGCATAGGCGACGCTGCTCGTAGGATTTTGACTGTAATGACAGCCTTACTACATCGAGGCCGTACCCGGCAGCGAGTTCAAGAATGACAGCGTGGTGGTGAGAGGTCTCCTTGTCTCCTGCAAGGATTTTCTCACCGCCAGATGGCAGGTGTCGTACCCCATCATCATGAACCCAACGCCAGGAGTAGTAGGCTATTGGGAGGTTGCATAAGCAAGTGAATGTGTGTGAATGTGTCACTGCAAGACGAGAGTAAACGGAATAGTGAGACTTCTTGTCCTTAAGTAAACGGAATAGTGAGACTTCTTGTCCTTAAGGCGAACGTGAGGGAAATTCATGGACGATGATGATATGGCAAGATAACATGGAGACTTGCCAAGCATATTTGCCAAGCAACCTGGATCCTTCATTTCATCAATATCAAAAAAAGGAATATGCTTTACACTGCTGAAATTTCTTTACACTATACACCTGAGTTCTTGAAGCTTGAATACGGATATCAGCAGTGAATTCTCCCTATCAAAGATTCTTTTTGACTGTTTGTGGATGTTCCATCCAAAAATTTGCAAAACCAAACGTTCCTGTCGTCAAAGTGACATACGCCATTGGCCTTGATGTTTGTTTCAAAGCAAGTCATCGATCAAGACGACGTGTCCAATCGATCCATACGTATCGACCAAACATTTTTCAAACTCTGGTTGCACTGCTTGAAGAATATCGACAACGCCCCTGAAATCACGAATGTGTGGGGTGCAAATGTTCTTTGCGTCTCAACCAGGATTGGATTGATCATCCACATCTGAATCATTTTCTACAAATCAAGTCAATTGGAAATGATATGTTTGGTGTAGGGGTATGGTTGTTTACCTTCCACATCTCGACTTCCAGCGAGGTTGTCGTCCATTCTCTGTCCTCGCCCCTAATAGAATATGACTTCACGACAGAAGGGATCAGATGTCACAAATTTACCTGGCCAGATCTTTGAATCATCGCTGTACTCCTTCGGTCTGATGCTTCTTTGACCCTCTGCAGAAATCAATCATTTCTCGGTCTCACCAGAAAACAAGTGGAATTGCAAGTTCACGACAAGATCAGATTTGGTGTTGCAACATTCATCTTCTGTTAAGTGCCTTACCTCACCCAGAACTGCAGCTGCCATGTCCATATCTGGACTGCCGCCCCCACCCCAGCCAACACTGTTCAAATCAAGCAGATCAACATATGAACCCTCACAGTTAAAAAATAACCGCTGGCTTTCTTGAAAAATACATAATTTTTCCAGTTCTTCGCTTGTTAACAGGCTTTCGGGCGGTCTGCCGCGAATTTGAGGCAGGAAATCAAGCGACCAGCGTGCAGTACACACCTTCCTCGAGCTCTTTCCCCTGCACGATGCATTGTAGCTTCTTGGTCAGCCATGAACTAGGTTGAAAATGTAAGAAAGATCCAGCAAACAGTTGAATCACAAAAGCAGTTACCTGCTGCTGCACCCCAATGACAGAACCAGGTCTGACCACTCTCATCCATCCAATAGCCTCTCTGCAATTCGAGTTCGAAATCTTAGTTTCATGGAAGTCAAACAGTTCCAGATGGAACCTTGCAGTGAAGCCATAGGCTTTCATCAAATACAGTCCTGATGATTGATGTCAGACCAAGTCGGAGTAAAACAACACTATATATACCAATCAACGTTCCGGTTCTCCCTAACCCCGCTTTGCAGTGAATCGCTACCACACCCTCTGTTCTCTCCACGACTTGCAAAAATCTCACGACGATCTGAGGGGGTGGAACTGTGCAGTCATCGAAGTAGAGATCAACATGCTCAATGCCGTTTGTCTGATGATAAGTCAGATTCAAGTCTTTTTAGGTCAGGGCACGACTGTACCTTGAAGGAATTCCGATCATACTTGGCCTCATTCAATCGCACCACACATTTCACTCCCATCTCATGAAAAATGTCCAAATAAAATCTTGGATGAAACTAAAGCCTTGATGAGTAAAAGCAATCAAGATCCTACAAACTTACAGATCGAACTGAATTTCTGTCGTACCAATCTCGCCCATCGGGCAAATCGCCAACTGGACCCTACAGACAAGTGAGCAAAACGCCCTCGTCACAGGTCGAGCTCAAATACTTTGAATGCAATTATCTTGTTTGGAATTATCATGTGCAAGTCTCCATTGCCAGGATTATCATAATGTTCGTACTCCTATTTCGAGGGTTAATTTGAACCAAGCAACATACCCTCAATCCGCCAGGCACCTCGAGATCAATTGCATCTGGAGAGTCTGGATCCAGCCAGCCAAGTTCCTAGCGTCCAATCAGAGGAAAACTTGAATTGCATGATTTCAAGCAACCTTCGCCCGTGCAATACCCTTCCATACATCACTGATGTGCAGATCGAAACATGAAGGCTCGAATGTCGCTGCAGTAGGATTAATCGCAACCCTACTGATGTCAGGATAAGATATCACCATCACGGTAAGGCTCAAACGGGCGAGGATGGACTTGGCTCAGCGGCATATCAGCCTCATGACCTTTTCGATCCATTTCGAGGACCTTGAACCAAATCAAACAAAGCTAGGCCCAAAGTAGGATCGACGTACCATGTAAGCTCCCAATAAAAAAATCGAGTTTGTTCTTGATCTTCTATCAGATGGAGAACAAAGAACAATTGTCTGTGCAGCAAGAATTTTCACATTCACACAAGAAAAACAATGCAAAATTGCCTCATTTGGAAAGCTCTCTAGTTTGACAGATAAAATCTCACAAAAGCGAAAAACCGCACTGTAGGAGGCAACTTAGAGAGCATGCAACTCGCAAGAATGAAATGCCTTAGATTCATAGGGCCAAAATCGTCACAAAATGGGTAATATGTGAGCAATCCTTCCACATGGAAGAAATGGTATCTGTAACCCAATATCAGCCGCAGCAACGCACGATTAGAGCTCGAGAACCTTGATCCATCATACTCTTTTGGTACTGCTTTGCATGCGATAAAAGCTATTCTGTCAACGATATTGTACCTGCGCGTGCACTACAATCAATGCATGCGCTACTGTAATGCAACTTAGCTCACATTCTTCCCAATACCCAAGGCTGAACCATACTATTGGATTGTGCGAACGCCTACCATCCGTTCAAACTCACAATATGTGCCTGGAAACAAATCAACCTGTTCGATTCTATTCGATGCCGCTCTGCCAAATACGGGCTCCTGACGGGTAGCCGCTTCTGTGTGCATTGTGTCAACATTGGGAACCAGAACAAGAACAGGATGGTGTGGTACGTTGTTCTCTGCCATCGTCGTGTTGTGTTGGCTGGCCTGGCCGTGAAGGACTGCTGTCAGCTTGAGCTCCAATCATAGCCATCAGTGACCCCCCTCCCCCTCCAGGACGTGAAGTGCTACCCCTGCGTGAGCGTTTTCTGGTTAGTTCCTCTAGCACAGAAGACGCCTGAAATATGGAATCATACCTTCGCGGAGGGTTTCGGATGTCACCCGTTCGCTCTTCAACAATTTCTATCCAGGAACCCAATCCTCTAAAGCATGAAGCAATCAATAAAAGACCGCATCCATTCAACATCAAAGAAGCCGTGGCAATGACACCCTGAGTATCATGTTTCCAAAATGCAACCAAAACAAGATCACAGGGGGAACGAAAGAGTTTTAGACACACACAAAAACCAACGAATAAACGGAAAACATCCAAGGAAGTATGAATGATTTTGTATGGTTTCCAGAAAGCAATTCAGATAGCAATGAGTTGGATGATTGAACAAGCAGCATCCACAATCAGAGCAGACTCACGTTTGTCCTGGCGGAGAGCCAGCACCTTGAGGAGAGCCTGGACGGCTATTACTGTTACTGCCACCTGAATCTCCCGCTCTCATCTTGATCTCGATGAGATTCTGCAAAGCGCCAGCCTCCCAGCCCAGAGGCAGGGGCTGGGGACACAGGACAGTTGATCACCTCAACTTCTATCTGATAGAGAAGCCAACAGTAATCACGATAAAGAGCTTAGCCGAACTACAGGAGGACTGACGGAATGAGCAAGGGACCGCGGACGAAGGATCCAATGATTCGCTTTTGCAGTGAAAGAGGCGTGTGCGCGGCTGTCAGTTGCTGATTCGCTTGGTGCTCTTTACACCTTGCGAGACTATGCCAGGAATGTAGCAAGGGGGGAGCAGGATAGATGAGAGGCTGGTGCAAGAAGTTGCGCTGGTCTGCTGGCTGTACAGGAGCTGAGGAGCCGCCGCTTCGCCATGCTAACCTGCGCGGGCGGCGGCGCGGGAGGAGGATGTTCTCGGATGTCCTAGGACTGTCCTATGTCGGATACACGAGGTCCATAGCGCGCTAGAAATGGTCATACAAACTGTGCTAGAGACTACGAGTCTTGGGTACTACCCCCACCCCAAAGGCATCAGCTTTCTTTAAGGACCCCTTTGTTCTCGCGCATGAGGATAGGGGTACCAGTACCAGCACCCCCTTTTCGAATCCAAACCAAGCGAAAATGACCGGTACTGATCAAATATGTTCTACTACCCGGTATCCTTACTTCAAAATCACCCGTGGTCAGCTCACGAACCTCGTTTCTCCCATTGGTCGTACCCACCCCAGCTTCGGACACAACAAAAACTAACTACCCCACCCACTCTTTTACAGTTGTACTACCCTTCGAATATCTGGGTTTCAACCCCTTCTAGTCGTAACAACCCCACCCGTCGAATTCTCCTTGGTACCCCCTTGGGTGTCTTCCTACCTACCCCACCCCTCGTCGTTCCACAGGATTCATTAGATGCCCGCCTCGAAGTCATATTTTTAGCTCCGGATAGCACTACCCCTACCCTATTAGGGGCTTTCGAATTGTGGGGTAACAAGGATGTTCAAGAACTACCCTACCCACTACCATCACACGTGCCTTCACGGATCCCACCCCTACTTGAAACTTATTGAAATTATACTACCCTCAAGTACCACTAGTATCTTCACTACCCACCCCTTGGTGAATCTGGCAGAGCATCTCAAGCCTTTTAGCTTTTTTTGATTGACCCCACCCCCTTAGATCCAATGTAGTTTATAGTAGTGAATCGTGACCTAGCAAGATACTACCCCACTACTAAAAGTTGAGGGAACCCTCCACGTCTCCCACCCCACCTCCTATGGATCACCCCCCCCCCCCTGGTGAACCACCACCAGTCAGACCACCCACCATGGATCACCCAGGGACCACCACTGCCTTCACCGCCAATCGCGGGGGTGGAACTACTATATTCGATCTCATCCGCGGGCCAACCACTGCCTCTAGCCCATACCTGGTACTAATTTTCAGTTAAATACCCCTCCCATCGACCGCGATGCACATCGAGGGCGGTGGTCATGCAGGGGGTATAAGGCAACGATGCAAGATCTATGACGCGCCATGGGGAGAAATTCAAATCCGAATTTTGGCGGGCAATCTGCACTGCATCCTTGCCATGAGCAAGACGACAGCAGACAGAGAGGAATGCCCTATTTGTAAGACGAGATACAGTACGAACAGTATTCGGACGATCCCTCAACACTGCATCAAAGCTTGTTCACGTTGTCGACGGGCTTTCAAAGACATCGACTTGAAAACTGTACAGGATTATGCAGTGTTCACTGACGCATTGGTGCTGAAATTGTTACATTTTCTGCAAAACATCGGGCACGCAACGTTGAAGATAAGCGACGCGGATGATAGCTTGCTACAAGTAGCGGCTAGTTATCTCAAGCTGAGCCAGCATACCATCAACACTTCTCATGTACGAGCAAAGTTGACGCTTCTAGGTGACCTCTTTGGACAGAATGCAGAGGGCTTCAAAAATTGTTTCCTTCATTACTTCACCTCGTTTCAACAAGGAGCAGATGCCAAAATGCATCATGATCAATTCCAGCTGCACATAGACGCGCAAAAGCTTCGAAGTCAAGTAAAGAATCATCGGCAAAAGCAAAAGGCATTGTGTAAGAAAATCAGACATTGGGCCACTTCGCACTATGACACTGTTGACGAGCTACAAAAGCAAATACACGATTATCACTCAAGGTAACCAGCGAGCTGGAATGCACCAGAGTACTGACATGCCACCATGCAGGTATGTAAGGCCTGAACATATTAGCCAAGACCAGAACAGCAATATCAAAACAGCATTCGCTCTCCTCGCACATACAATGTGCGAGAACTTCAAGTCAATGCCATTGGAGGATAGACGTGATTTCATACGAAGCATTCTTGAAGAGCAAGAGTCTCTTGAAGAATCCAATGACGAAAGTCCTACTGCCAAGTGCTTTCTCACCATCTGCCATGTTGAAAGGGCGATGGATAACCTCCGTTCTGCTGAGCTTCCCGACATAGTTTCAGATGTCGTAATGTTCGCCAGTCAGGAAGGGGATGGCATGAAGAGCAAACACCCCATCATGCCATTCATAGTGAGCGACTGGATACGACAAGGCTTTCGAACAAAGGACACTAGAGGCATGCGATACTCTGAGCAAGTCATGAGTTTCGCTGAATCAATACGGAATGTCGGCACCTCAGGTCTATATCGCTTGCTCACAGGGCCGGGCAACAAAAATACTGGAACTTTTGATACTGACCAGATGTTACACAACTTACCTCTGCCATCCACATCCACTCTTCAGAAACGAGATAGGCATCTCATGAAACTGCATGGTAATGATAGGTCCAGAGTGTGCACATTTATTATGGATGAATTCCGTCGAATGAATCCTGAGCATTGTCAGATTGTTGTGCGATCGACAAAACAATGATAAATGCAGGATTTTGTTCTGTGTTTGAGGAATGTGAAGCAGATCTGGGGGGTATAACAAGTCATGAACCTGATATTTCCAAGAAGAATTCGTCATGGCTAACGCAGCTGGAAGTCGATGGGTGCACGGACCCTCAATCAGTGGATATCATGTTAAAAATGTTCAGCAGCAAGGCCATATCGCTTTTGAATGCAGAGGGACACATTGAAACAGCAAGAATGGCAGAAGCAATGAACGGCCTTCACAGAGCTTTCGACGAGAGAGGCCTCACCAAGTCTGAAAGAAGAAATCTGATTCTTAGAGCTCGAACCTGGCTTCTAAGAGATGTGGATTGGATGAGGGTGGGCAAGAAGCACATGAGGGGGTTGTCATCTGTAACCTTCGAAGGACTGATTGTAGCCATGGACACACATCTACAGATACAGAGTTATTTGAGCAACAACAAAGGTGTATTGGGTGAAAAGGAGTATGACTTCAATGCACGGACGCTCTGCACAGACAGCGTTGAAAACCTCTGGTCTTTGATAGGTCATTTGAACAAGAAAGATTTCTTGAGGAAATTCAACAAAGCATGCACTGAGCTCTCAAAAAAATTCGATCCCAATCTGCCTTTTGTGTATGACCACTCAAAAAAGCGAATCATTCTTAGCAGACCACGCGGGGAGAAGAAGCGTTTCAACGCAGAGGAAGGAACACGGGACAAAGAGAATGAGTGCAGGTCCCAACCTCGATCTCGGAAACGTATACATACTCAATCTTTGGATACACGAGGAGGATTCACAGGACAAATGCCTAGATTTCAGGGATTACGAACTTTGTCTGGTTGTAAGTCTACGGAAGAAGAGATAGAAAGGACAAAATGTCAAAAGTTAAGACGTGTACAAAGCGAACAAGTATAGAGAATGACAATTTGTATGTATCTCTAAATATAAAATGTTTGTTTTGCATTGTACAGATTTTCATTCTTGAGATATTCATCCTCGAAACAGTTTGTCGCGGGATCGCCATTGCGATTCCCAACAAATTCTACTACCCCACCCCTGTAAAAAGGATTGAAAAAGTACCCGTCCTAATACCGGTAAAAGAGGAGTTCCACCCCCGTGGCCGCCAATGCTTTGAGGTGATATGAGGGCGATGATCAGATGAGGCGAGGCCGCTGGATGCAGGCTGGATGAGGGGCTAGATGAGGGCTGGATGAGGCCAGGGGGCTGGAGAGGGGCTGAATGAGGGGTTTTGGAGGCGCAATGGCAGGAGAGAAGTTGTCGATGAGTGCGTTCATGCAGTTGCGTCGGTCGCGCCAGGTGCTGGAGGAGGCACGAGAGAGGCAGGAGAAGGGAGAAGACGAAGAAGCTCTGCCAATGCTGGAGCAGGTCCCCTGAACGCTGCCTTCTTCTCGATTCTAATCTTTGCACCAGGCTGTCGGGGCCAGTGAACACTCGGTTGAGGCGCGAGTGGCTTTGAGCCAAGCGATATGGAATGAGGCGGACGGGGAAAGCAGCCTCGCACGTGTCGAAGAGCTGCTCAAGCAAGCCATTTCTGTGGCCAAGAAAAATACTTCATCGACGGAGTCTGCGTTCCTCCCCTTGGCAACCAACAAGCTACTGCTGCTGCTTTGCCTGCAGGGGCGAGACAAGGAAGCTCAGGAGCTGCTCCAAGGCGAAGGTTATGAGTACCGCCTTTCACCAGAGGTAACCTGATCTCATGTTACTTCACATCTGCAGCCGGGTGACTGCATGTACCAGGTTTTCCGCGGAAAGCTGATTTGTCAAGGTGAAGACCCCAATGCGGGATTGGTGATGACCAAGACAGCAGGAGGAGACCAAGAGCAAGATTGCAACGCACAACTACTAAGAGATTCTCTGCTCTGTGTCCTCGATGAAGCTCTTCCAGCAGACATGCTTCGTCACTTGCAGGTCTCACCTTGACATGTCTGACACCCTTGACCTCCGGCAGGAGTGCTTCAGTCCAGCGAGTGCCTTCTGGAGAGAGCACAGCTATCTCTCTCCTCAAACAGGATACTTCTCTTACTTGCACGATATTGATCGACCGGCTTGTAACAACATGGAACAGGAACCTCAGCTCCTCCGCGACCCCTTCCTGACGTTGACCTGCAGATCATTCATGTGCTGTGGAAGCACGCCATCTCGAGGTTCCCTCATGCTGCGAGGGCAAGGAAAGCCGAATGGTGACATGCTGATAATTTCGCGACTTGTTCCTCGCATGACGAGAGGTAGGTGGGCCCACTGCCGCCCCCACCCGTCGGGTCATCAGCTTCACTTCGACTCAGGTGCGGAAGGTTGCGAGCACTTCAAGTGACTGCGAGCAGATGACGAGGGCATCGGAGGTGTGCGAAACCCCATCGTGACGACTGTAACGTACCTGAGCATGGTGAAGGTTGTAGTGCTTCGCTAGCGTCACTGAACTTCTCTCCAAGGGCACGGGAGGCTGCACTCTCGTGACTGACCAGCGAGTTGATGACCGCGAGCTCGCTTGCAAGGTTTGAATCAACAGCCTCTATCTTGCCCTGAACATTTTTGCATCCTTTTTGCGCTGATTCTGCTCCACGTGACTCCTCTCCTGCATTCTTGCTCTCAGGGTTGGCTGGTCAAACCCAAGGAGAACCGCTATGTTGTCTTCGACGGTTCTGTCCTGCATGGGGTGATTCCCGGCAGATCCTTCAGGTCATCCTTCAGCTTGCTTCCTCCGCTGATCCTCAGGGTAGTTTGAATCCCAAGGGAAGGAGGGTCACTCTTATGGTCGCTTTCTGGGAGGTTGGGTCACGTGGAGAACAGGGGCAGACTCAGAGGGTTGGTTTAGGACATCAAGCAGCGAGGGACGGAAGCTGATGGTCCTGGAGCGAGCAGAGCCTTTCCGGTTGCGGTGAGTCAAGACATGCACGAGCATGCCAGGTTACGGAGTGGACAGGGAGCGACCAACTTCACATGGGCGAACAAGATGTTTGAGCTGAGGAAGGAGTGGGAAGAGGTATCAAAAGGTGAGCGTCGGCGATTCTCCTTCCTCGGTGACTCTTTCAGAACCGACCATCACAATCGAGGACATCATTCCTGTGAGCAGCGTGTGGGAGAAGGTGGAGCAGAGCGACGCGGAGAGGTTGAGCTCTCTCCTTGCCCTGTCTCTCCTGCTTGACCTTTGAATGGCATCCTCCTCTGCTTTCAGAGTCTCGTCAGCCTCCGGTTGTTTCCTCCCGCGTCTCCTTCCATCCCTCTTAACTTTCCCGCAGGTCACAGGGCAGGGGCGAGTGGTCTTCCCGGCTACGAGGCTTGCTTCCAGGGCTTTTAATAACACGACTCGCCTCCTCCTTGCAAGCTCCTCCAGGGAGACAAGTCCAAGTCTTCGACCTCGGGCAGAGGAGCACGCCGAAACTTGGGCACAGATTAGCAGCAGCCTCTCATCCGGTCCACTTACCTTCCTCTCAGCTCCAGTAGCCATCCCTTCCAGCTGTCCTGCCAATTCGTCTGCCTGCCACCGCATCCGAACGTTGTCCTCGTCAAGCTCTCGCTGCTGCTCAGTGAACGATGTTGCTTCCCCCTCACACGCGGGACGCACCGTCTTCCTCTGCTGTCTGTTAAGCGCGAGAACATTCATCGACAATAATCACCTGCAAGGCGGCGTGACTGCTCCTCAGCTCCTTGTGCTGTTGCTGCCGAGGGAATCGAAATTCAGGCAGGAGGCGAGGAGAGGAGGAGATGGCAGCAGGACCTGAAGCTCTCGGAGGCTCAGATCACGTCGAGCTACTTCCTCATGCATGAGCTCTTCGATCACCCGCATCTCCTGCAAGCTTTGAGAGGCCACCAGCACGAGGAGGTTTGACCTCTCGCAGCAGCGACTCGTTCTTCTCTGCCTTCTCCTTCTTTCCACTCGTTTCCTGTAGAGATATGAGGGGACCAAGAGGAAGCGCTTCTCTTCACCTCCAGCAGCCCTCGGCTCACGATCAACTCCCTGTGTCTGCTGCTGGATCAGCACAAGAGGAGCGCGGCAAGCATGGCAACCTCTCCTCCACCTCCATGGCGAGCGCTGATATCTTCGCCTGCAGCTGCTTCACAAGTTCTCTCGTGTCTGCATGCTGGTGCCTCTCTCTCTCTAAGTTTCTTCGGGCCCAGTCTCGTTCCTCTTGCAGCCTTCCAGCCTCATCCTCCAGTCTCTCCAGCTGCCCCTCAAGTTCCCTCCACCTCGCCTGCTCCTTTTCTAGCCCCATCCTCATCGAGTCGCAGATGCTACCACAGCTTCGAGAGCTCGAGATCAAATCTTTCAGAGCTAGTTGAGCTGATGCGCAGCACGACGTGAGCTGGACGAGCTTCGACTTGCTCGCATCCTCTTTCTCGCGAGATCTTCTGAGTTCCTCCTGTAGGGCCAGCAGCTGTAACGACATTTGACGCAGCTCGAGCTCCTTCTTCGTCCTCTCCTCACGTAGCGAGAGGATCGTCTGCTCCGCCTCTCGCGCTCGCTTGAACTCGTCCTCTCTCCTTGCCTCCGACACCCTCAGCGATGCCGTCACTTCTGCAAGCGATTTGTCCAGCTGCTGCATTCCACGTGAGAGACTGTCAGCCTCGTCCTGAGCAGAGAGCAACATTCTCCTCTCCTTGTTTAACTGCTCTGCTTCCTCTCGCATTTTCTGCAACTCGCACTTGACTGACTCTGACTTGCGAGCCTCGTCCTCTTGCCTTCGCCTCTCCTCCTTCACTTCAGCTTGGAGGGCCTCAGTCGCTTCCTCTGCCTCTGCAAGCTGCTTTTTGAGCCCATCTGCTTCCTCCCTCACTCTCGTTAGCTCCTCCTCAAGCACACGCAGCCGTCTTGTCAGGCCTTCAACCTGCTCCTCCTGTCGTCGCTCTCCGGCTTTCGACATGGTTCTTGTCTGTTTGACCTCCTCCTCCAGGCGTTCCAGCATGAGATTTCTCTCCTGCCAGCTCAGCTGAGGTAGAGTTTAGCACAAGACGAGGCACCTTAGCTTCGTCCAGCTGTTGAGAAAGACGAGCAGCGTCCTGATGGAGATCAGACAGGGAGAGGAGAGTGAAGAGAACCTCTCGGGCCTCGTTTCTTTCCAACAAGAGCTCCTCTGCTTCCTTCTCCTTCTCCTCCACCTGCCTTGCGCGTCATCTCCTCCCTCCTTCTCCTCGTCCGCACCGTTCGACTCATCACCCTCACACTCTCCCGCAGCTCTTCCTGGCAACATGCCTGAGGTCCTTGTCCTCCTCTCGGCACGTGTACCATCTCAGCCCTCACGGCTGCTGCCGCCGCGTGCTCCTCCTCCAGATCTCCGATGAGCCTACGCGTAGTCAGTTGAATTCTGTTGCATCCATGCGTCCATAACGACACCATGGCACCTTCCTCCCTCCTCCTCTCACCCTTCAAGCGCGTCAAGACAATGGTGAGACTTCTCGTCCTCCGGCAACTTCCTACCCACCGAAGTTGCGAGGCGCCGCAGTGACGACCAGAGCTGCGGGATGATAAGAGCAAGTCAGGGACACGAGCTGAACCTCGCACTGCTGCCTCGTCTCCTCCTCCATTCTCTCGCGCAAACTTTCTCGCTGTCGTCGCTCATTCAGCAGCTCTCTGCACCCTGTGAGTCCTTCCCCCAGACAGGATAAACCCCTCACCTCCTCGCTGCTCTAAGAGCCTCTTCCGAGCTTGCAAGCTGCCTGATCGAAGTCCGTCAGCGGAACAAGCGAAGCAAGAAGCTTTGGAAGAAGCCACAACAAGGATGGCTGGTGGAAACGAGCAGAACGGGGAAGGAGAGGATTTCATGAAGGATGAGGTGTGTAGAGGAAGGTGAAGTCTCATAGACAACCTGTGCGCATCTTCTACCATGCTGAGGTATCTTGATCGATCTTGCTCCAACGCGTGACGAGGAGAGGCAGCACAAGGCCGGGAGGATGACAGGCCCTCAGCCACCGGTTGCTTCCCGAGCGCTGCAGATTCTTCTGCTCCCTTATGAAAGTCTTCCATCCTTTGTACGTCGTCGCCTTGTGTAAAAGTTCTGGTCTCCTGGATTCGTCGCTTGCTCTCTATCAAGGCTTTCAGGCTTGCGGGCTTCAATCCTCCATCGCGAGAACGACTAGCTGGTTCCGTACTTGGACGAGGAGGAGATGAGGTCTCACTCAGTGGAGGAGCAACTTGCTCTCCGAGATTGTCGAGAAAGAGCAAACAGCGCGTGAACAGCTCCAACTTGAGCTGAGAACTGGTTGACCGAGGAGAGAAGCAAACAATGAAAGCGACGACGCTCCCATCGCGCCATCCAGCCTTCAGCACTTGAGGCAACAAGGAGGAGGGTGGAGTAGCGGCAGAGGAAGAAAGGCTGGTGCGTCTTGAGCAGGGGAGGGAGAAGCCCTCGGCGATCCCTTCAACAGCGAGAAGCTGATCGTCATCAGCCAACACCTCAACAGCCACCAGCCTTGACTCTGATCTCACGTCACGTGGCGGAGCAACGCAAGCCACAAGCACCGAGCGGAGCATCTTCACCATGGAAGGAAAGAAAGGTGACCACGTGTCCAGCCGCCATGTCCAGCTGAGATGCATCAGCAAGGACACGAGGTGGAAGCTGTGGCTGCTCACTCGCGTCGCTCGTCGGATCTTTTCGAGAGCGAGGAGCAGGTCGCTCAGCCTGGTCACCTTCACTTCCTGCAGGCCCTGCACCTTCCAACCTGCCTCAGCATCTCACTTCTCCCTCCTTCCCCCTTTCCCCTCCTCTCTCGCCTGTTTCTTGTGATGTCTTGATTTGCCGTCGCATGGGAGGAGCAGACAGAAGGTCCTTTGCCCTGGAAGCCTTTCACCCTCACCCTCCCCTCAGTTTCTCTGACCTGTCAGCATGAAGCAGCACAGAGCTGATGCTTGCAGTCACTTTCAGTCTTCCTGCCTGAACATCAAAACAACAGCAGGGGGGTTGGGGGTCATCAAGCAAACGTTCTTCGATGAGGTCCAGTACTTCAGAGGCTGATCAATAGGCTCATGAGAACACACGGAAGTGAAAGCTCTCACCCACACGAGGAAGCAGCCCCATCTTGCTGTACTCTCCCAGCTCCCCATGCAGGCTGTAGCTCTGCGTTGGTGGCACTCAAAAGGGAGCTTGCAGCCTCTTGCATTACCTTGCCCGAGAGTTGCGAACCAGCAGCAACCAGGTAGCAGTCGCGGCCTAGGAGACGTGAGACGGCTTAGCGATGCAGCATTCAAAACCTTTCAAGAGCTGATCTGCCAAGTCAACGGCAACCTCCTTATAGAGCTGGAGGCTCGTCAGCGATGATGACCCCACACCCAGGTACCTCAGTCTGATTCGCTCGTGGCCCCAACACACGGGTATGCCGCAAGGTGACAGCACGACCTATGAGGAGTCTATCAAAGGCGCGCATGAGGGAAGGAGAGCCTGACCGCGGATCTCTATCGCTCCTTGGCTTTCATTCAGAGCTGACAACTCTCGATCGCAGCCTTCGCAAGGACAGGCGCGCAGAACCACGCGGACATCGGAGGGACGAGAAGAGGATGAGAGCACGAGGTTCTTCTTCTTCCCCATCTGAGCCTTCTCTTGCTCTATCACCCTTGCTTTCCCTCCCTTCCTCGTTCCTTCATTGCCATGTTATCTTCAAATTGGGCGCACCTTTCGAGGTATGAAACAAGGCCGGGGTTGCTATTTTTAGGGTATATCCTTTAAATTTTAAGGGCATATGCCTTAAAAGCTTGAAGAGTTGACTAAAACTTGTTCCATGCCCAATAGAAGGGACTCAGGGAAGTCCTTCGTTAATGCAGGGAGGGGACGAGGAGGAGGAGGAGGAGGAGGAGGAGGAGGAGGAGGAGGAGGAGGAGGAGGAGGAGATGGTGATGGCGGTGAAAGAGGAGGGGTTGTAAAGTTGAGGTTCATAGGGAGACGGATGGTCAGCAGCTTTCACTTGATTCTGGGTCTTGTTCTTTCGTTGCAGGGAACAGCACAAGGGTATCAGCATGTCAGCTTGTTTCCACACGTGCTTCCACGAGTAGTCTGGCGGCCCGTTACCTGCAGGGTACGGCCTCGTGATTATCTTTCAAGGAAGAGAGCCTCAACGCTGGTCGCCAGCCAACGCAGGTTTTCTCCCACCGACGACAATGAATTCTGCATCGACAAGGACCTGGTTGGATTCTGGAAGCTGATTGGCCTGCAGAATCAGACGGCGCAGTCATGGAACGGGGAGGAGGAGATGGTCACGCTCAGAGCCGATGGTCAGGTGATGCCCTTGTACGCCTGCGTGTTGCTTGATGCTTAAGCCTCCGAGTTAGGTCGCTGGGGGGCCGCGATTGTCGGGGGAGTACGACAATCTCAATGTATCGTGGGCAAGTGATCAGCGCGTTTCTGGAGGGCAATGGAGATGCAAACAAGACGTTTATGGACGGAAAGTCGTCGAGATTGTGATGTTCCTTCCCCCAAAGAATAAGGAGGATAGATTGAGGTTCCGCGATGGGAGGCCTGCTCTCCTGCTGTTGGGGTCGATCCTGCAGCTCTTCCCTCAAGACACGGACTCATCGAGCAGCGAAGGGCTGCGCATCATTGGCAATGCATCAATAGGAATGTACGGTGAAACAAGTGACTGGACTCCCTTGTCAAAGTTCTCGATGGCGAAGAAGAACACGGAGGGATTGAAGCTGATCCCGACTGTGAAGCCTTTTTCCCAGTCGTTCAACACCCCAGTTAGCGATGAAGAAGAGATCTTGAAGCAACTGGAGAGAGAGAAGGATCACGATCCAGCTGGTCTGCACAAGAAAGCAGCACAAGAGTCTGAAGAACAATTTTCACAAGCAAAATACGATCGGGATGCGCTCTACGATCAGCTGGAAGATTTGAGTCAGGAAGCGACTGGAAGCGAGCATGCAGTAGACGGAAGGGATGGCAATGATCTCGCGGAGGAGATTCAAGCTGTGAGTGTGACATTCAGATGCTCTTCTCTGACGGTGAGCAGGAACTGAACCTTCGAGCAGCAGTGGAGAAGGAAAAACAAGAAATACGAAAGGTGATGCTGATGAGATGCTGTACTCGATTGCGTCTGATGTCTTCACGTGTCAGCTATTAGACATGGACGACGATGATGGTCAGATCCGCAAGTAAAAGTACCTCCTTTTATTAGTTAGTTAGGAGTAGTCCGAGTTCGCCTCAGTTCTGAGAATAGGCCGAGTGGAGAGACAGCACATGCTAAAGGCAGAACCTTCCAGAAAGATATGACCCCTACCCCCCGTTATCCAATCTCCACCCAACATTTATTGACCCCACCTCAGCAATTACCAATTTTATACCACTACCCCCCTATGAATTTGCGGCACCTCCACGTACCCACCCACCAGGTAGCACCTACTACCCCCTTTACTTTGAACGAAAAACAACCCGTCAAAGAAACCTGCGCATTCGTCATGGCAACTTTCTATGCACAGGGATCATCAGACGATTTCCTCCGGTGATCCCCTCATGTCCTCTCCATCCCTCATGTCCCCTCCATCCCCCAACTCCCCTCCATCCTTTATCTCCCCTCCATCCCCCAACTCCATCGTCTCCCTCCCTTCCTTCCCTCCCTCCCTGCCCCCCCCCCCACCAATCCTCAATCACCCTCTTCACCCTCTCCCTCGTCTCATGCTCCCTATCTCTCTGCCTGCCTCCCTGCCTGCCTCCCTTTTCCTCTTTCTCCCTCTCTCTCTCCCTGTCTGTCTGTCTGTCTGTCTGTCTGTCTGTCTGTCTGTCTGTCTGTCTGTCTGTCTGTCTGTCTTCCTCCGTCTCTGTCCGTCCTGATGGCTCTCACGATCCTCGAAGTCCATCCTCTCTTACAGTTGGCACGTTCTCCTTTTCTCTCCTATACCCTCAGTTGCCGTCCCTGCATTGCAATAGCACGCGACAAACCCACATTCAGAGCACGCGACGCATGTTCCACCTTCACTTGCTGATGTCTCTGCGTGATGCCCGTTCCTCCGGCAGAGACAGGGGATTCGACAAAAAGTGGACGACAATGGAGGAGACGAAGAAGGAGGTCTGGCAGGATGTTACCAAAGGTCCCAAGAGGAAACTCAGTCAGGCTGAAAAGCTTGAGAAGGCGAAAAAAGCGAGCGAGAAGGTTTTGAAGCAAGCCGATGCCATTCGTTACGATGTGAACGGTGGAGAGCTCCTCAAAATGTTGGAGAAACGTGACAAGAAGAGTGAGAGGAGCCAGGCGAGTAGCCAAGACACCTCAACTAAGTCTTCGAAGCCCAGAACAGCGCAATCAAACACGCAGAAACCCTCAATCCCCTGCAATGAGCCCAAGTTGGTTAAGAGTGTGTCGATGAAAGTTGAGAAGGTCAAGGGCGAGCTTGACAGCATAGTAGCATGTCACCACGACAAGCCTGATATCCAGCTTCTGAAACTTGCAGAGATGTTCGAAGAGAACTTCAGTCAGTGCAAACTGGACTTTTCGTGGAGTCAGCAGGTTGCAATCGGGCAGTCTCCAGCTGCTTGGGAGAAGGAACCTGCGAGTTTCTTGAGTGGGGCAGTGACGGAGGTGAGTCAGTTCTCGACACGTCTCACAGCTCAATCATCTTTGTCAGTTGGTGTCTCGATGGATCGGAGACTTCGACTCCTCTTCCTTGCAACAGTTCTTCACCTTCCTCGTGGAAACTGCCATGCCGGGTGGAGGGCTGAACGGCAAAGGAGGAGAGAAACCTTATGTGGGGCTGAAAGCCTTGCTACAAATCATGCTCCAACATTGCTCTGGCGATGGATCAACACCATCGTTTCATGAGAATGGTTTGCGACTGGGAAGGTAACAAGAGAGATTGCAACGATGCCCAAGCAATCTTGTTGGCAGGTTTGTCTTGCAGGCGGAAGGAAGGGTCGCTGCTCAAGCTGTTCCCTCTCTGCTGTGGATGTGCTGCCAGCTGTCAAGCAAGAATGTCGTAGCTGCTTTGAACTGCTGGTTCCTTCACCTGCTTCCAGTCGTAGAGCTCGAGCGATCCCACGGGTAAATTTTATGTCAACCCCTATAGTCTTGGAATGACCTTGTCTTTTTTTTAAAGGGGAAAATTGTCGAAGCAATCGGCAGAACTTCTGAAGTACCTTCTTGCAAAGCTCAAAAATGCCCCAGCAGCAGCGTCGACCGTGGTAAGGAATGTTGTTAGTCTAGTTCTCAGTATTTCATTTCCTCTTTCTTATTCTGTCATATCCTCTCCGCTATCTGACACTGAATCCAAGGTTGATGGAGAGACACTCCTCCGCATCGTCAAGTTGAGTCATCCCGGAAGCTTACAAGAGAACAACAAGAACAATGAAACCTTGGCTGTGCTGCGCTCGGAGCTCTCAGGTCGTCGCCTTCTTTCTTACTTGATCCCGTCATCCTCTCAAACAGGAATTCTGCGATTTGCTATGGTGGGAAAGTCGCAGTCCGTCAGGGGGAGGTGAGAGGAAGGAGTTGAGAGTGGGTTCCAGTGACGTCAGCCTTAGCATCGTCCCTCTCTTCTTGCCTATTGTCTCGACAGAGATGCCAGAAGACTTGCAGGCGACGAGCAAGGAGCTCATGATGACCTTTCTGCGACAAGACACTGAGGGAGTCACGATGAGGGAGCTGGTCAAACATCATCAGGGGTAAAATGAAATATCAACCCTGAAAGCTTCACCTTGGAAGGGATTTTGATCCTCTGTAATCGTTCTTGTCCTCAAGGCATCTCAACGCCACACTTCTTCTCCTCCATGAAATCCTGCGAGAAACTTCCAAGCTGCCAGAGCGAGTCCTTGTGCAGGTGGGAGATGGGCAAAGATCGCTGAGTCGATGAACATACTACAGGGGATGATGGAGATCGAAGCGGCTTGCAAAACAGAAGCTGCGTTGATAGAAGGTACCGAGGCGGAGAAATAATTTTTAATGACATGCTGCCCGCAGCTCAAGTGAGCAAGGAAGATGGTGCAGAGTTTGCAAGTATTTTTATCCTCTTCCCATCCTCCTCCATCGAGCCGCTCTATGCATCTTTTCCTTCGTCATCTGCTTTTGTTCTTTCTGACTAGCAAAATTCTTTGCAGAGAAGGCCAAAGTACAGAAGAAGATGAACAAGTTGAGTCAAGTCACTGGCAAGCGAGTTTGCAGATCATGTAAGCTGCTGATCCTGTACCTGCAGAGATCAGATCGACTGCGAGAGCGATTCGAAAGAAAATCTTCAACCGCAAGCTGACAAGTTCATGGTGACCGTGAAATCTCCCTGCTTATGCTGCTCACGCCTTTCAAGCTTCTATCTTCTCTTCTCCCTGCTGCTCTTCTCCTTCGCTCTTCTGGGAGTTATCTTGAGTGATCAGCGCTGCATGAAACTGGTGTGCGAGTTTGTGAGGAAGTCAGACGCTGATTGAGAGATCGACAGTTTGTGGAACAGAGCGAGTTGTGGAGCACAGGAAAGCAGCTGGACTATCGTGTCATCGCAGCATCATTTGAAGGCTGCATCAAGAGAACATTAGGATTCATTATCAATTGATGCAAATAATCTAGCAAACCATGTCCTCCCAAGGCCTGAAAGTGAACCACAACATGAGAATCAGTTCGAGCCGTCGTCAACCGTCCGCCTGCAGATATCTTCTCCTCCTCCCCTTCAGCAGAAGTTCTTCATGGTGCTGCAGAGATCCTGCGGCTTCGCCATGGACGCGAATCTTCGAGAGTTTCCGTTCCAGTCATGCCCGAGCCTGAAGGACCCACGGTCTACAGAGCAGTAAGATGACCAGTGATTCGCCTCTCCTCTCTCTCATACCATCTCGTGGCTGCGTTGGGTCAAGATCGTCGCGGACATGAATGCTGTAAGGGCCCGAGACGCTTCGATCAGGGATGAGCTTCTGAAACATCTGCTCTCACTGTCAATTGCGATACAACAGCAACGCCTTGACCCCTGGTCAACTTTCCTCATCCTCACTCCCTGCACTTGATACATGACACTATACGACCTGACAGAAACGCAACAAATTCCAAACTTCTTCTTCCTTCAAACCTCATTAACGTTTGATCATTCCTGATGGAAAGGTTTCTTTCAGCCTGATTTCCTGGCTTTGATGAAGGTCTGTAACTTCATCATTCCCTCCTACTTCCTTTCCCGTTCCCTTCATCCCTCCCTCCCGACTTGCTCAGTCCCTGTTGGCAAACCAAAAGAGTCACACAGCAAAGCAAATGATACTCCTGAAAGGTACAAGCTCAACACTGACCGTCAGACTCATTCTCTTGAACTTGATCGATCGAAAACCTGGTCCCCTGGTTGAATTTCAGATTGAAGCTGGAGAGAAGAGGAAGAGCCTAGCGACGAAGGATACATGGAAAAAAAGGATAGGCAAGAGAAGGTAGCTATACTTCATCACGGTCGGCAACTCCGAGCAAGTGTCGTTGCTCTCCTGCTCTTCCTGCTGCTGTTTCGTCTCACTCGACTCGGTCGGCTCAATATTCTCTTCATCCGCTGATGCTGCGGAGGATTTTCAGCGCTAGGCCGGAGGGGACTCGAA